TTCTTCTTCCTTCTATTTCCCACTCCTCCTCTCAACACACGCAATGTTCTGATTGCACCACAAACGCAGTAGTCATCCTTATCTTTCACAGAGGCACTGAGTTTTATAAATATGAGCATGATAGTGTAGAATAATCATATCCAAGGACCAGTGGTGGGTTTCAAAAAAATTTGGAACCTCTTCTGTAGGTGTGGCCTGCTTTCCGGGCCCACTGGTGGAACCTCTTCCAACCGGTTCGGTAGATTTGACGAACTGGTTCTACCGAATAGGTGCGAACTGGTATAAACCCACCTCTGGAGCTTATGTCAGCTTTGCGAGATAGTCCAGAAAAGAATCACATCCAGAATTACTAGCTCTAACTTTATTGTAAGGTTATTTTAACAGCATCTTGCAAGTCTCAAAGTCACCATACTTTTGCCTTTATAGTCCAAGAACTTTGAGAGGGTCTTTCCTGAGACATATTTCTTATTTCTGATCCTGATTTCTTCTGCAGGCTAAGCTGCCACTTGTCTGATTGTTGCCTAGTCTGTGGCTCTGCCTTCTATCTGCCAAGATCATCCACACATGAATAAACAAAAATATAAGAAAAATACGCCTTTTGATGAATACTAGGAGAGTTAATAAGAAACTGGACCTTGAGCTTTGCAAATGTATAATGCAGCTGCTTTTAATTTTATTTCCATCTTCCCCAAAACAGACTATTGAATTTTGGCATTCTGCCATGGTGTGATTTTGAAAGGCACCTACGTACCTGTTCTCCAAAGGTTACCCATCTTTACATATTTGCTTACAACAGGGGTATCAAACTCAAGGCGCACAGGCTGGATTCAGCCTGGAAATATCAAGGGACCATCCTGCAGGGCCTGTGCTGGTCAAAAAGGACTCTCCTGAACACCCACCCCCTCTGTTTTTGGCCTCCCTGTCCTCCTGCAGCACTCTGTGCCTAAACGCCTTTCCTGAAGGATCGATCCGGAGCTCTATTATCGGCTACAGAGGCCTTTCCTAAAGGCCTTTCCTGAAGCCTTTCTAGCCGATACAGAGCTCCGGATCAATCCGGAGTTCTGTAATCGGCTACAATGGCCTTTCCTAAAGGGCCTCTCTAGCTGATAACAGAGCTCTGGATCAATCCAAAGCTCTGTTATTGGCTACAGAGGCCTTTCCTAAAGGCCTTTCCTGAAGCCTCTCTAGCCGATACAGAGCTCCGGATCAATCTGGAGTTCTGTAATCAGCTACAAAGGCCTTTCCTAAAGGGCCTCTCTAGCTGATAACAGAGCTCTGGATCAATCCAAAGCTCTGTTATTGGCTACAGAGACCTTTCCTAAAGGCCTTTCCTGAAGCTTCTCTAGCCGATAACGGAGCTCCGGATCAGGAGCTGTTATTGGCTACAGAGGGATTTCCTAAAGGCCTTTCCTGAAGACTCTCTAGCCAATACAGAGTTTCGGATCAATCTGGAGTTCTGTAATTGGCTACAGAGGCCTTTCCTAAAGGGCCTCTCTAGCTGATAACAGAGCTCTGGATCAATCCAGAGGCCTTTCCTAAAGGCCTTTCCTGAAGCTTTTCTAGCCGATAACGGAGCTCCGGATCAGGAGCTGTTATCGGCTACAGAGGCATTTCCTAAAGCGCCTTTCTAGTGGATAACAGAGCTCCGGATCAATCCAGAGCTCTGTTATTGGCTTTCCTGAACCCTCTCTAGCCGATAACAGAGCTCTGGATAGATCCAGCTCTGTTATTGACTAGAGAGGCCTTTCCTAAAGGCCTTTTCTGAAGGCTTCTCTAGCCTACAAGAGAGATCCAGATCGATCCAGAGCTCTGTTATCGGCTAGAGAGGCTTTCAGGAAAGCCTTGCTGGCGGCAGAAGAAATGGGCCGAGGTGTGCGAAGCTTGGCTGCAGCTATCCGAAGCTGAAGAAGTTCCTGAAAGCCTCTGACAGCGAAAAGGAGGCTGGGAGCAACACAGGCAAGTGAGGTGAGTCAGTGGATGAGTTTCCTCTTCCCCCGAAAATAAGAACTTGTACCTTTTTTGGTGACAAAGAAAATATAAGACAGGGTCTTATTTTCGGGAAAACATGGTAGGATTACTACAAACACATCACAAACTATTAACAGATTGTAACAATTACAAGTTAAAGCCAGTACTTACAGATGACAAACCAGACATATGGCGTATAGCCATAAAAAAACCCTTTCTCCAGTACTTGAGCTCCTTCGGCTGTGTAGACTCCAAGCAATGTCACTGCAATTCCAGAGAGATACATCTGGATGTTCCTCACCCATAAAGATGTATCAGAGCTTTTTAGCACTTTCTCAAAATACACTCCTGAAAGGAAAGTAGCAAAAGATCAGCAAGTTACCTTGGAAAAGAAGCACGTCAATCAATCAATTTTAAAGATGAATAGATTATTAGCATTTTATGGCTAACTGCCAAAGCCAGGAGGTCCATAGATTTTTCTGAAAGCCTTAATTTTCTGACAGCCAGAATAAGGAGCCTAGCTGAATCATAACTTCCACCATGAACAGTATAGAAATGCATCAAATATTTGCATCGGTGACATTGATGTAGAAATATTTGATGCATTTCTACATCCCAAGCTAGCAAACTGCAAGATAAACTTTGTATTTTTTTTTTCAAATTTTGCAAACAAAATGCACAGACTGGGGAAGGGAGGGAGGATCAGTGCAGGTAGTCCTTGCTCAACCACCGTTCCAAGTTTACAACAAATTCCCAAAAGTTATGACCTGCCCTCAAAACTATGCCTGCTGCATCCCGTCCCACAATCATGTGATTGTGGCTCATATTTATGAACATCTGCAGCACCCTGTGGTCATATGACCAGAATGCAGCCGCGCGAGCGATATTGGGTGTACCTAGATACACCCATGTTACACCCATCCTCCGCGAGCTGCACTGGCTCCCTATTGGTCTCCGAACGCGCTTCAAGGTGCTAGTCGTTACTTTTAAAGCCCTACATGGTTTAGGACCTGGCTACCTGAGAGACCGCCTCCTGCCACATACCTCCCAACGACCAACTAGATCTCACAGGTTGGGCCTCCTCCAGGTGCCGTCGACTGGACAATGCCGGCTGGGAGAGCCTTCTCTGTAGCTGCGCTGGCCCTCTACCCGT